GCTCGAATGGGAAACTCTTCCTCACCCAGCGTACTCACCAGACATAGCGCCTTCTGATTACCACTTGTTCAGATCGATGCAGCACGGCTTGAGTGGTACACGCTTCCGAAATGTTGAAGAAGTGCGAGAATGGGTGGACGAATGGATTGCTTCGAAACAAACATCGTTTTATCGAGATGGTATCGCCCAGTTGCCAGAAAGATGGCAAAAAGTTGTAGAAAGTGATGGAAAATACTTTCATTGAAATAATTTAAATAAATTTTTTACAATAAATGCTTTTTCTCAGTATTTTTTGGGCGGAAACTAAGTTAAGGTCCTAATACTTTCTTCTCAGTGTGTTGAAAGGTATTATTTCCTGTAATCTTATATTTTAAGCAAAAATTTACTGAAAAAGTATATTGAATTATTTATATATATATATATATATATATATATATATATATATATATATAGAAAGAGAGAGAGAGAATAAAATATAAAATAATATTCTTATGAAATGGATTGATCAGAAATTTATTAGATATTATTCTAACTTTTCTCCTCTTCTAGATCAAGACGAATACATTTTCGTAATAAAATGTCCTTTTACTAGAAAAAAATTTTTTAAATTCGTAAGATATACTGTGGACATAGTTCCGAAATTCCTCTGACTTTAAGAATATTGTGCTTGGAATATTTTCTTCTCGCTTTTCGAAGAATTCTCTTAGGGCCATGTAAAAGAATAAAATCTCCTAAGATTTAGATGACTCCGCCGAGGATGGGATTATACTTTTTTGGGTGTTCATTTCATGTAATTTGTCTCACTTTTGAACCCCAGCAAAATATGCCGTGCCGCGAAGTACTTTTGCGAAGAAAGCGTAACCGTTGCCGCGTCTTCTCCATATTATTACGTGAAATCATAAATAATCGGCAATAAACTGCGTGGCGAAATATGTATTTATTCATAGTGAGTAATATGGAACATTTGCAGCGCGCGTAATAGATTCATAAATGCGCCGCTTTTCTCTCGTTTCTTTTCAGTCGCGGTATTTTCTGCTTACTTAATGTCATCGTTACACCGGTACATATGATTATATACGCACGCGGGAGGTTATCCCTCCCCCCCAAAAAAAAATAGAAAAAAATAAAAAGCCGCATTAATATGTCATGAGCTGTAGACACACGCGATATTTGAATAACTCGAAACGGCGGCGCGATGCATTTGAGATTTATGCAGCCGCGTACGCAGAAGCGTTCTCATAGAAATACAACACGCGCATCTGTGTAACGTTCGCTGCATCATATTTAAATCATCCCGCGCATACCAAAGAGCAGTATCCTCGGGACTTTCGCCAAAAGCTCTGCGAACAGACGTCTCTCCGAAAGCGCGCTCACGAATGCACGATAAAATCGTAGCCGTAACTACGAACTGCTGCCATGTCGGCAGCCGGAGATTCGCCAGTTGAATTCGCGGAATTTCATTGTGAGTACAAGTCGTTTTGGCACGCGAAAACTCGAAAATCGATTGAATTTAATCACTACTAATTTCGTTGGCACTCGCGACGGCATTTTCACGTCGCGCAATGGCGCGCGAGAACGTGCAGAATGTTAGTGAAACGCGCGCCATAACGTGATGTAAGTATTTAATTTTGGGGCTGTCGTTGTGGCATTCAATTTAAATTAAAGGACTCATGTGTTTCGCACGAAGGAAATATTGCAGTAGAAATTACTGCAAAATTTTTCTAACCTTGGACCATGCACAGAGCCGGCCATAGTTACGCATGAATAATTCAACTCATAAAATCATTAGAGTTTTCGTTACCAATGGGTAGCTCGTATGTCTTTCTATGTAAACGAAAAAGATCCAAGTCTATGAGTGCCTAAAATTAATTAAAAGACAGTTTTTATTTTGCGTACTCATTTTTTTAAAGCTTAAGCTTGTCAAGAAATATACTAGATCCTAAATATCTTCAAAAAGAACAAAGTTGACTATGTTTGACTTCTGGGTTGATAATCTTTGCATAACTATGGCTAATTATAACCAAAATTACTTTGTTTATTTAGTTTATTTTATTTATTTTAAAATGTATGTGTGTTTATGACTTTTTACTATAAAATTATTATAATTCTATCTCATAGGCCCAGAGAGGGGACTGCGTTTTAAATCTACGTGATAGACCCGCGAGCAATCGGCATTTCTTCGCCGGCCACGTCGCGCGCTAATTAGTTTATCTATTTTATTTAATAACTCGAAATTTTACGTAGCTGTTTGAAAAATGACTTCAACCATATGTTTCACTTTTATCTGTTCTATTTATATTTTTCTTTTGGTACTTTCTTTTGGTACGGGACACCCTGTACATTACAATTACTTAAATTTATACTATAATTTTAGTATTCCAGCTTTACAAAAACATTGTACACAGAAATGGACGCACCAAATGCGTTTTAGTGGAACAGGAGCAAAATTGCTGGTTTCTGTGAACCAAATTTGGTGTCAATAACCAGAAATATTCTTCCTTTCCTTCAACCAAAACGGTTCATTTATTGTCAGATTAATTTCTAACTTTTCTTCCGTGTATTAAAAAAAAACTAACGAATTATTGTCGTTATTGGTTTTTGAAAAACCTTTAAGAAAAAATAAAAATCATAATGTATCAAAACTGCTCAAAATTAAAGCAACTCATAAACAGTTACAATTGCTCAAAAAGGCAACTCAGGAACTGGAAATTCGGTCTAATGGATTAATGGCCTCTGATGATGCCATAAAAGTTAAAGTATTTATTCAGATTTATCTATATGAGATAAAGAGATGTAGATTGAAAAATAACGGAAATGTATCCACCCTTCAACTGGTATTACAGATATCCGACAAAGACAATAAAAAAATATAAGCAATGTAAGCCGATTGTGGTATTATTACGTATAAATAGCCGATTTTGATACTTGCGACGCGATAATAGGATTTAAAAATTAATCCTTCAGCTCCCGCGGCGCAGAATTTGCCGAAGTAAACTCCGAGTTCTCTCTCCGTCAGCCTCACGGCAGATCCTCGCGTCTGACAACAACAATTTCCGCGCGCGGCTTAAAAATTCAACGGCGCGATATATTTAGCGCAGTTCGCGCTAAACGGCTGGATGCTCCGTAACGTTTAAGGGATTAAGACCGCGGCAAGGAGCGAGAGATAGTCTCCGTCGTTGAAGTGTCGACGCAAACTCCTGTCGACACTGAACAGCGCCCGAGCGAATGCTCGTCCATTCGGAGGCTGCACTCAGCGGGAAATATAATTGGTTCTGGAAACGTTACCGAACAGCTGCTCGTTGTTTCGACGCGCCAATGCCGACTGCGTGTTAAATAATGAAGGCAATCCTGTTAGACTCTCGTGCCGCGCTTAGTAATTATATGTACGGAGCCGTTGCAATTATAACAGAGGTGGGTCGCTTCTCTCAACAGCGATCCGCGTCTGATGTTTACGTTAAGCCTTTGACAAGTCATTTGAGACGATTGTTCGTGTACTCACACAGTGACTAAGTGAAGCCTCTGAATAACTTGGTCTTATTCGTGAGAGCGTCGCAGAACACGTAATTTACCTTTCACGAAGTTTGTATACATATACATGTGTGTGTTTAAATAATAATTTTCAGCAGACACCACATAACTAACTTGACTGCTGAAGTATTTATGCGGCTGATACGCGACAAATTTATAAACTCTAAGAGAATGCTGGAAACTTTACTGACCAAATATTGACATTTTTCTGCAAAGAATTTCTTGTTCATTTTGAGCTAATCTATCTGTACACACCGCGGCTCCGACGCGAGTTGCCGGACATCCTGTATATATGTTGTAAAAAATCTTGTTATGAAGATAGAAAAATTGTCACAAGCAATCTCTTTCGATGAAACAAATCTTCGACCGAAGTTTCGGTTATTTTGATCTCACGCTTGAAAAAAAAAAAAAGAAAGAAAAGAGCAAGAAAATTGTCATTACTGAACACGGTTGAAAAATCAATCGCGCGCGGGATTAATTCTGCGAAGAATTCTATTGGGGAGCGTCCCGGAATTGTTTGTTTATCGACTACCCTTTCGCCGCTCAGTCGCGCAATTGTCCGAACGGGACGCGCACGCAGTAACGGCGCACACCGCGCCGAATTGGAATTGCACCCGATTCCTTAATTGCGAAGCCGCCGCGGAGCTCAACCGCCCTCGCACTCGACGGAAAGTGTCTAACAAGCGTGACGGAGTTGCGAGAATTAGACGCAACGAATTCGCGTCGCGACTTCGCCGCCGGATTTCATTCGTCGCAACGTTTGCGAATTCGCACACTCTGTCGCGACAAGTCGAGCAGAGAAGGAGCTGCAGCGTCGGGAAACGCGTGGAAATTCAACGGCGCGCATTTTCCATTAAGCGGCCCCGGCAAAGGGATGTTGCGAAATCCAGAATAATGTCCTAGTAATTAAACGGATCCAGGCTCGGGGGAGGGGGAGGGGGAGAGGACACAGAGCGAGCACTCCATTTGCAACTGTAATTTCGTGCTGCTCGCGCGCAGAGAGCGCGCGACAGCGAAAAGAGATGAATATTTCCCCCTGATTAGGGGAAGGGACTAACCCAAAATTGCATCAGCGTGACCGGCGATAAGCTTCGTCTCGCAGGCGTCTAACATCTCTTTTTTTCCTGTCTCTTTGATTGCAGGACATATCGGAGTACAAATGCGAGAACGGCAAGACGCCCACTTACGTTCCTCACAAACCGGTCACAGGCGTAATTGGTGCCGCGTTCAGCGTGGTCTCCATCATGGTCGCCAATATCTTGCGGCTTTTCAAGGTAACTATCGCAGTGGTCAGCCGTCTCAGCCGTGTGTACGAGGCGTTACGAATGCACGGCAAATCGATAGCGGGACCGACGTACTTGTGCGTATCGCGTTTTACCTCGCGCGCAGCTCAACCCTTTCAACTCCCCTTATATAACGTTCCTCGCTAATTGGGGGAATTTTGGTCTCTAGAAATCATTTTTTATAAAAAGTTAATTAAGCAGTTAATTTAATCATTCGTGAAAATTGAATTTACTGTTATGCAAGGGACAATTAATTTTAATTAATGCCAAAGCCACAATATATTTCCCTGACACACATGTGGTATGTTCCTACAGTAAAAGAGTCAATTAAATCTCAATTGTTTTATGCAAATTAAATAATTCAACTCAACATATGTCGGAATTGCGTAAAAACTTTATCATTTTTCAATATATGTGTATGTATTTTTTAAATATTTAACTCTTTATAAGTTTATAGTCGATATTTTAACTTACTTCACGTAAGATTCAAAATGTCTATTATTTTTTACTGTACATTTAGTGGTCGATTTTTTGTCAAGCAATCGTCATAATAATTATAAGTATTATAAGGTTCCTTATATTTCACACATTTGTCACATGTATATAGATATGTTAAGTAAACTTGTAATAAAACATTAGAGTCACCTTTAAAAAAAGTTTCGCTTTATAAAGGGTTAATATTGATTAGATATGCAAAATTAAAAAAAAAAAACCATCAACTCTCTGTCCGATCAATTTTGACCTTTTCTTGCAACACGAATGCAAATAATCATTTTTTACATATTTTTGCCGCTAAGCAAGAACAATATAATCGGAAAATACTAAATAACAAAACATTATAACTTCAACAATTTCACATGTGCGCGTTTGTCTATTATGGATAACGGTATAATCTATATTATTGACAAATGTGTATGTGTATTCAGTATTTTTTAGTACTTTTCAATAATTTTATGCGAATACTAAAACATTTAGTTCTCACATAATATACTATTAAGATAGAATTCAGTGCCTTTTTATTACATGAGGTAAGAGCTATTTTTAAATAACTATTTTTAAATAGCTTTAAAACGAAAAATCATACGAGAATGAAAGAAGCAACGCATTTTAAAGTTTGAAATTTGTACTTTCATATGGCACATTAATGAAATTCAGAGAAAAACACGTTCTGTCGCTGGCAGGCTGACACTCTTTTAGTTTTTGACCCTTTTTATCCCATTCTTTTTAAAATTGTGACGTGACAGTCGAATTTGGACAACGGATTGGTTCAACGGCCAAAAACACGTCGCAAATGGCTCTTTTTATTGCAAAACCCGTGTTGCAAAATAATGCGGACAATGTAATTTCTCATCAAATTATCGAGGAAATATTAAAAAAAGAAACAGAGATAAGAGGAGCTTCACAAATATTGCATAAATAAAATACGATCGTTTTTTCATTGTATTTATAAATTATAATATTTTAGCAACGTACTTCTTACGTAAATACACTATCAATAAAGAAACCTGCAAATATTTGACTATGCGTGTCACGTCGGCAACTTGGACGTCACACACATAATAAATTGGGTCAACCTGCGGAAAACGAGAGATACGAAGAGATTTAATGGAAGAGTTTTCGAAGAGTTTCCCTATTCATTTCGGTCTTTATTCGGGCGATTCGAGACGTTGTCATGTCACGCGCGTTGATCGCGATTGAGAAGCGAAAAATAACCATTTCAAGAGGCAGCCTCGTGTAAAGCACGGCCGGGTATCGGCAGGTCTTTGCTGGACGTGTGAAAATGTAGCTTCCTTTGATACGAAGGCTACAAAGGTGAGTTTGAGAAAGAGAGAGCGTATGTGTGTGTGTGAGAGAGAGAGAGAGAGACGCGGGAAACGAGAAACGGAGACGACAACAACGACGACGGCAACGAGAAGCAAGCAATTTCGTTGACTTTTTCGAGAACAGGGAGGGATTTGCCGAAACTTCGTGACCGGTAACGACGACGGCGCAACGTCGACACAACTATCAATCATAGTCATCCAGCCGCGACAACCGTGACAGGAAGAGCCACTCCCGCGACGCCGTTCCCGTTCCTATCAGACCTCGGGATAGGACCTCGGCTCTCACGGCGCCTTCAAAAGACGTCGTGCAACACGAACTCGTTGAAAAGGAACCCGGTGATCCGCGCGAAATCGGCTTGCCAAAGAAGCTGCTGTCGTCGTTGTCGTTGTCGTCGTCGTCGTCGTCGTCGTCGTCGTCGTCATCGTCGTCGTCGTCGAGACGCTTCATCGATCCGTCTTCGCCGCTGACGTCGGATGCGTGAATGGATTTCTCGCGGAATGTCGCGGATCCTGTCGAAACGCAAGTGATTATATCCCCCAGATTCCTTCCGCATAATCCGAGCCCGCAGGCTGCTATTCAATTTTTATCTTATCTTCTATTTCGTTGCCCGGACAAGAATAATAAGCGATTGAATTACTACGTTGAAAAAATGATCCAGTCTCTAGATTTCTAATGTAGAGGATACACTCGAAGAGACATCATCTTATCCTTAGTGGAATCCTCTTATACGTGCGGTCTCAAGAGGATTCTTCTAAAACCCAAAGGGAAATATTCCAAGCACGATATTCTTAAGGTTAGAGGAATTTTGGAATTTTATCTATAGTACAAGTCTTCTTGGATGTCTTGATAGAAATTTTTTCTAGTAAAAAGGTACTCTGCTTTGAGCAAATATATTTCTCTTGATTCAATAAAATTAGAATAATATCTGAGTAGATTTTCGATTAATTCATTAGAAAAGGAATACATTTTCGATAAAAATTCTCATTTTTTTTCGAAAATGGGATTATAGGAAATAGCATCTTGCAACTAGAATTCTTTTTTAAGTATTGGAATATTTTCCATTTGGTTTTTCACCAAAGAATATCTAAAAAATAAAATATATTTATTCAGTAGGTATTAATAACATATTTATTTAAATCTGAATTTTTTCGTTTAAATAGATAAACAATTGCTTTCATGAAAAGCAATGATAGTGTTTTGAGAAAAATATATATTTTCTCATTTAAAAGAAATTTTTTTCTCAATGTAAAAATATATGTATTCGTGAATATGTTATTTTAGTGTCCATCGAAGAAATTTTTTTTTATACTTTTTCAAAGAATCTTCTTAAGAGATGTAAGATATTAGAATGAAAGAAATGTAAGATGATTCTGCAGAGAATAAGAACATATATTTTTGGGTGTAATCTCTATATGAAACAATTTAAAACTATATTTATGTTTCTTATGCATTGATAGAAAAAACATCTGAGAAATAGAAAATATTTATTTGGCGGATACTATGATAACATTACATAACTTATATACTAATATAAAATATTTCTTGAATAAGAATATATAAATTTTCTTAAAACCTTAGCTTTTCGTGAGAACAACTGTCCATTCTATCTAAATAAAAAAATGTAGATTTAATTAAATATATTATTAATGCTCACACCGAATAAACATTTTTTCATCTCTTAGATATTTTTTTCTCTTAGTGTACATTCTTTGCTTTACAGTACATACTTGTTGTAAAATAATAATTGAGTTTCGCGCATGTGTTTTCCTACAGATTAATTTGCATTAAACAATTTAAGAGATCTATAATTTTATGAAAGACACATTCTTTGCATAAAGAAACATTATATAAGCGTGTTGGCATTTTTATATATTCCAGGCGATATCGAAAATACATTTTATGTCAGTCCGCCGACTAAGATTGTACGCGATGAAATTCAGTCGCGAAGTCGTATTCTATAGAACGAGAGCTCTCTCGGAGTTTCGAATGCTAGTCGCGTACGCGGATTAAACTCGTGAGACCTATCAATGCAGATGAAAAGATATCGGATAAGAAGACCCGATATGCACCGTTGCACGCAAACGAGCCGCGGCTTCGCCGCATTTTGTTGCATGTACTCTTTTATCGTTCTCCCCC